AAATATATGCATTAACATACAATGGTAATCACAAAAAAGAAGCATCTGAAGAAACAGGTCTGCATTGCATATTTACTTTACATTTCAATACTGAGAAATTATTGGAAGGCTGCTGGTCATAGCATCATAGATAAATTAGTCCTGATATTAGCTATTCACCAGACAACAACAAGCAGGTACATACACATAAGAAATGAGTACTTTAAAGATAGATACAAGAAGGTGGTGTTAATCAGGGAACATCTTACTTAGTCAAAACATTAAAAACCAGCATGGAAGAAAGAAGAAAAATACCTAAATGTCTTGTTTTTAACAGCATCACTGGCAACACACTCTGAAACCCACTAATACTGTGCAACCATATTACAGACACATAAACAAATACAATTTGTAAATTACTTCGCTGGAGGTTTTTAATGATTTGTCATTATGATTACATATGTGCTCCTGACAAAAACTACCAAGAAAGAAACAACTACACAGAATGAATGCACCTAGGTAGCCAAGAAGGTCCACAGTGTCCCGATTTGTATCAGCAATACTGTGGCCAGCAGGAGCAGGGATGGCAGTGACCATGCCCTTCTACTCAGCACTGGTGAGGCCACACCTTGAGTACTGTGTCCATTTCTGGGCCTCTCACTACAAGAAAGACATTGAGGTGCTGGAATGCATCTAGAGAAGGGTAATGGAGCTGGGGAAGCATCTGGAGCACAAGTTATGTGATGAGTGGAGAAGGTATCTGGGGTTGTTTAATCTACAGAATTTGAGACTCAAGGAGAACCCTTATCTCTCTCTACAAACACCCGAAAGAAGGTTGCAATGAGGTGGGGGTCAGCTTCTTTTTTCAGGTACCAAGTAACAGGAGAAAAGGAAATGGCTTCAAGTTGCACAGAGGAGGTTTAGAATGGATATGTGGAAACATTTCTTCACTGAAACAGCGATCATGCACTGGAACTGTCTGCCCAGAGAAGTGGTGGAGTCACCACCTCTGGAAGTGTTCGTTTGATGTGTAGATGGGGGACTTACGGACAGGCATTAGTGGACTTGTCAGTGCTGGGTTAACAGTTCAACTTCATGATCGCAGAGGTCTTTTCTAAACTAAAAAATTCTGTGAAAATTTGAAGAAGGAATTTTAGATGTTGAGCCTACCACCTTTTTTATTACTGTGGCATGCACAGTATCTGTAAAGAGGCAGAAATGTGAACTAGAGACTGACTCTCAAAACAAGTATGTACAGTGAATACTTGAATTTTTAAAATACTGTGGAGAAAATTAAAAATGCCACAACCAACAGAAAAGAATCTAATTCAAAATGAACATGCTGATTAAAAATCCAACTGCAAAAAAAGGCAAAGTACGCAAGGATTTTCCTGAGCAAAAGCCACATTCAAGTAAGAGAACCTCAATGAAAGATTTATCATAATAAACTTTGCAGTAGTTTGAGCTATCAGCTTGATTCTGTGGCTGTTTCAACACACAGTTTGCACTTATATCAAATGGATTTGCATAAGAAAACCATTTGAAATTGGATACAAAGGTCCACATTCAATTAAAAACCTTTGCATTAAAGAACAACTTTCTAAAATGAAAAATAATGAATGTGCATTTAAGAGTAAGCCAACATTTCTTTTGCAACAGCTCTTTAGCACAGAAAATACACAATGATGCTTTTTCTTTCAAATGTAAAAGAATATGCCAAGAGAAGTTATGAAGAGAGACTTATCTTCTCTCTTATTTTTTCTCTGCAGACACTATAATGAGTATTATGTTTCCAACTAAATAAAATCTGAAGAAATTTTACAAGAAGAACTGAAGAAATTTTGCTATGATTTTAGAATTCAAAGTGTACTCTGTATTGCTCTTTTAACTATCCTCAGTCTTCTTAATATACTCGTCTATTTAAATGTACACACACTTGAACTCAATTTTAAATTTAGTATCATGAATACTTTTGAAATAACCTGGCAAATTCGCCACTTCAGTCTGTACCAATCCAATTATGCTACACCTTCAAACTTTTATTCTTTACAGGAAAGGTACTCTCACCACAATCAGTATGAAGTTGACAGAATAACATCTTATGATTCTAGAGTGCATTCTCAACAACCCCAAAGATTTTGTAACACTGGATACTGATCTCACAGCTTACATTGTCAAACCTGAGTATTGGCTTATGATACAAAGCTTTACAGTCACGCTTATAGTGCAGTTACCTACTGAATTATTATTCATTATCATTAAGAAATCAGAAAAACGTTAGAAATCACTGTGATACTAAGAGTGATAATATTTCAGCAGATTTTAACACAAGTAGTATTAACTAAACATTAAAAAGAAGATGTCAGAGAAAGCACAACAGGTTTTTACTTTGCAAATCATGACAGAGAAGGTACTGCCCACTATAAGGCTGGCTACAGACTAGAACATAATTCTAACATACTAAATTCTGCAGTAAAACATTAAGCTGTTAATACACTAACAGCCTTCAATTATTGATTGCTCTTCCATCTTTCAGAGTAATATATTAACCATTATTTCTACTGCATCAGTAGATGCTCTATCAATCATATACCATAATCCAGCAGGTAACATCAAAACCAGCATGGCAGCCATGATGGAAAATAAACTATTTCATTGCAATACATTAAAGGTCTATTTATGACAAAGGTCTCGTCCAAAAATAAGAGACATGGACAGCCTTAAAAAAAAATAATTTTTTTTTGTTTAATAGCTTTACAAATTTGGAGTAGTCAGAGCACAATTATTTAAACCACAACAGAGTAGTTATGATTCTACTTGCTTTTATATTGTTTATGTTGTTGTCACAAGAGATGACATTCATCTAGCTCAGAGTACAGGAAGCTAAAGGCAGCAAGGGTATAAAATCCTGCCTGCTACAAAGCACACTCTATTGGAGCCTAAATCAAGCCATTTTTCAACTGCCAACAAATACTTCTGGAATAAAACAATATTTCTTCTCCTGTGGCTACTCAGCCAGACCACATGTCACTTTCCTACTACAGATAATTTGCCAGCTTGCACTGTAGAAGCCTGATTAAAAAAACCTAAGGATTTCACTAGAACATTGCCTATCAAAAGGATGTGCTGCTGTCAAAAACCAGGCTGTAACATACAAAAATACATTAATTTTAAAACCCTAAAGCTAAGACATTAAGACTTCTAAAATATCAAAATAAAGGCAGACTGGGAAACTTTGATTCTGCTACCTGCTCTGTGTGTCTTTTCACTTCACACGACATATGCATGCAAAATAAGTACATGTTTTCCTTAAGACTAATGATTCACTCAGTACTGAAGATGAACAAAGCTCCAGGAGAAGACTTGTGAAGCGCTAATGATTTATCCACAGCATACAAACCTTGTTTAGAGAAGATGTTTAGTGAACATGATTGGGAATTACAGTAAGGAGTATGCTGTCATGCATTAAAATGTTATTCTTCAGAAACAACAGTGGATTCTATCACGTTGTTCCCACATGATAACAGGTACATAAGTCATACACCACCTTCCAATCTGCAAGTTTTCCCAGAAACTGAACAGCGTGGTACAAGACAACCCTGCAAGTTATTGAACATATTTCTTCTGCACTTGTCTTGAAATTCTTGACTCATTTAAAGTTGTTCCTGAAAAATATGGCACTTGGGAGTTCTGGCAGGAGGAGACAGCACAGTTCAATTATACATGCTCAGTCTTCTTACTTCCCTAGCATCTTCCAGAAGCAAATCAGAGTTATCCCTCAGTCTAGATGAACACTGCATTCTGCTTAACATCAACCTTCCTGAAAAGGCCTTAGCCAATCCTCTTACATCTCACCAGAAACATTCCTATCAAGTGATAAAACCCAATGAAAGACAGCAGCTGTCTGAATGTGTTTATGCTACTGGAAGTATCTGCATGCTTTTGAGAAGTAGCTCATTACTCAAACAGAAAAAAATCTACAGAAGGTAGAAAGATCATAGGATTACAATCTCAAATTGTAACCAAAAATTTCAGTCAAGATTATAGCTGTGCCTGCCTTTGTTTTCATGGTGTGTAGCTTGAGACATCTTATTTGGTGAAACATTGAAGACTCACATTTGTAACTGTGATTTAATAACAGTTGAAGACAGTTCTAACAATAAGGTGAAGAGGAGGTAATGGATGCACAATGACAATTTAATCTCAACACATTAGTTTTTAAAGATTATGTAGCTGTTCCTCTTTCCAAATATTTAAAAGTAAAAGAAGGCAGACACATGCTTTAAAGATGAGAGCTGGCAACACTGACTAACTCAAACCTTGTCTGCAGTGGAAGTTCTGGCACTTCATTCTGACAGTCATGATAGAAAAACCAGATCTGTCACTGCGTTCTCTAAACATAGTAACATTGACCTTATGATGGGCTTCCACAGTAGCTGCTTCAAAGAGAGACTGTCCACATACTGTAAAAACCACTCATTTCAAATTCTTCCATGGTAGTCATTTGTCACAAATTGCTTTTTCTGTTTTTATTTCTCCTCTTAGCAAAGCAATAAATGCTTTTTTACCCCAACTTGCAAAAATACTCTATAGTCCTACTATCAAAAATATGTGGTCAAATTTCTGTTCCTTGTGAACAAAGAAGCAAACTAATCACTGAAGCTTTCAGCTCAAGTAACTAGAATTTGTTTTCATTCCCGTTAAGTACTGGTATATTTAGTTTGCTTTCCTGCTTCTACTGTCAAGACTACTGGTACAATTGAGACAGTTCATTAAAAATCCCAACACTGACATGTCATGAAATTCCACAAACTCACATAAAAGATGTCACTAAATTGGTAGACAGAACAACAGTATATCCAATATCAGCTTTCCAAAATATAATCCAATCAGACTTAGAAATGCTGAACTTTCAAACTCTTGGAGAGTAGGAAGGCAGGAAAGTCAAAATAATTACTAAGGAGATTGCAGTAATTCATACTCTCCCACAAATACTGTCAACTTAAGACAGTCATCTTTACCTTGAGAAGGTATGTAGGAATATTGCTGAAATCAACAGGCAACTTCAAGAGGAAGCGAGCTGAGAATTCTCCAGTCTGTGGAAAAAAGGTAACACTAATGAGACATGGTAGCTAAAAGAGAGCTATTCTGAAGATTAAACACTATCCAGAAAAATGTGTAGGAGTGCATACCAAAGACAAGGGTTGAGATTTAAAATAAAATTGCTAAATAGAACTACTGGAGAGAAAAAGAAATTTCAGATTTCACAGGTGTCATATGAAAAAACACCTTAAAAAACATTAACCCTCATTGCCAGTAAGTCAACAGCAAAAAGTATTTAGAATAAAACAATGTGCATGACAAAAAAATCAGACTATACTTTGTTACGCCCTAAATATAGATGTATCTTGGCTGTACTAATTTCCGGACAAAGGTCTGCTGAGACCTACAAAGAGTCAAAGCTAAAAGCAAAAGCTAAAACCTGACAAACTGATAAGAGCATATAGACAAAATAGAGGCATCTTTACAAATACTGCAGATATATGTCAGAAAATTTGTGTTTAGAAAAGTGAGCACGTTATCTAAAGTGTCCTCTGAATAAACTTAGGGGAAAAGAGCTAAAGAATAAAGCTTTAAATAATTTGTTTGCAGAATTATGTAGCTCTAAACACCCAGACAACCATTTACTGAAAATCTGCCAAGCGTCCCATACACATTGCTCTTTTTTACGTATAAAGGGTATGAGAAGGAAATGGAAAGGATTTCCTTTCTGTTTCATACACTTCCTTAAAGCCAGACTTTGTCCACCTGGTTATGAAGCAACAAAGTTAACTTTTTTTTTTTTTTTAAATGCCTGCTGAATTTCCTCCATATTAATTTTTTCTTATTTCTATTTTTTTTAGTTCAATAAAGCAGCCACACAGCAGCTATATTTGTTGGGTAGGTTGAATTAGCAGTAAAGAAACTGTTAATCATTGATTTTATGCAATTAAGTACAAAAAACTGGGATAATCTGAGACAAGCTAACCAATTTGTCAGTGCAAATCTGTTTCTGGGTTAACTTACCAGGCATGAACTAGAGCTAACTCATTCTACCTTTCAGTCACTAAACAAGAAAAAACAAGATCTGGAATGCAACTGAAATCTTCCCAATGGTACCTTTTAAGTTACATCATTTGCCAAAATGGTTTGTGTGATGTTGGGCTGTAATCCACCCTTATGCAAGCTAGATAAGAATTGCCCTTAAATTTGTCACTGGTAATCACATAAGATAGGCAAAAAAATTGCTCATAGAAACACTATGCAACAAAAAATGAGTGTATGTAAAAGTCCAACTGTGAAACCTTTCCTGGTAACTGTGAAACCTTTCCTGATTCCACCACATGTGAGGAGAGATGCCAACTTCCTGATGCTGTACTACTGATGTATGAAGAAAAATCACCAACTTCTTGCACACATGTAATATGAAGACTGCTATGATGACAGTCAGGGTCCTCACTTCTTATCTGGAATGAAATGGGTATTACAGATAGTGCTTCTCTTATGGACTTTCAAAAAATGCCATACAACATTTGCCATAAAATCCAGAAAATTATTTTTGATATTATACCAAGTCTGATGAACTGGGATGTCCACTGAACATTGATCAGAATGACCTCTGATCAATGCTGCTCTGTTCATCAGCTGCTCCAAAAAGTCCAGATCTTTCATATCATTCAATCAAGATTATTTTGCCAATTAATATTTCCAAAGGTGTTCTGGCTGGACAGGGAGCAGCCCCTGTCCATGGTGCTCACCTCTCCAGCCCAAAATAGCTGGATACAGGCATCAGGTTGAGACAGATGAATTTTTAGCCACAGCCCTGGACAATTAAGTATTTAATGGACTCCTGCATCCACTGGTACTCCACCAACATAAAGCTACTAAACTAGATAACTGTTTGTCGATTTGTCACATATATTGGAGACTTCCATTTTAGGAAACTGGAGATAGTGGAACAAAGGTGTAAGAGCAAATTTCTGTTCCATTTTGGGTCAGAGTGCTGAATTCAGATCTTCTCTTCAAAGTATTTTTAACTCATGCACCTAAGATGACTGTTTTCATAACACTGTGCAAGGTTCATACTTGATTATTTCAGAAATCTGCTGAACTACTATTGATTCCTGTGAGACAGCAGCAACATGAATTTCAATTAGGCAGAGAAGATAAAAGGCCATTTACCTCCTGTTTTTTAGAAAACCAGTCCTATTCTGCTGATCCTTGAGGCTAACAAATCAGTTGTAAAGGACAGGAAAGAGAACTACACAAGGTGGTTTCACAGTTTTGTTTTAGGACACTAGTATGCAAGCCTCTGTCGCATATACCAAGTTCACAGAATCTTCAAGACATGAAAAAGTCTTCTTGACAGAGAATGAAGATGTGGAAAAAAGCACACCCTACTGAAAAATCTAAAATAGCTCTGCTATATGAAAAGGATTTGACTCAAAATTTATTTAAAATTTATTTTATTGGAATATTTTTAAATTAAAACAGCATTTAAAATTGCAGAAAAGGAAGTTCTTTATTCAGTCATGAAAGACTGAGAAGACTCGAAAGGCTTGAGTAGCTACGTCTTTCCTCTCAAAAACAAAGAAACCCCCTACAATCTTGAGTAGAATTTTTGCAACTGGCAAAAAAGTGTGATAAGATTTCAGTACAGTTCAGAAAGCCTCCTGCACTTCAATAAACCTGTCTGATGAAATTTAGAGATACAGCAAGTTGTTTGTGATGCCAGCTATGGGCAATAAGGTGCCATATTACTCTCTGTGAATAAGTTAATTTCAATCAAATATTCTGATCTATAAACATTAAAGAGGTCTGAATTTCTTTGATGAAGAAAATTAAATCTGGGTTCAAAAATAAAAAGCCTAGATGACTTGTCTAAGAAAAGAAAAAGAATGTGTGAGTTGTAAAGTAAATATCCTTGCATCAACTGTAACTTCAAGATGATTAAAGTGAGATAAAGTTGAATTCTAGGCCTTGATAATAGGAGTGCTGAATTTTCATCAATTTTCAGACAGCACCTGTTTCAAAAGATATTGCTTCTGAAGGCCAGTTTATCTTAAGAGTATGCTATTTCTGAAAGCAAAAGGTAAACAAGTTCATTATGAACACCATTAGATGTTTCCTGACATATCTTACTCCAAACTTCCCAAGAAAAATATATTACCAGCAGAAAAAAACCTGATTATTGCAAAGCTTAGCATGTGGCAGAGAATGATTTTAAAAAAATCATCAATTCACACAGTAACCAAAACGTCTACATCGCCAATGGCCACATCTTACACTATAGTACACTAAAGAGTATAGTATACACAGAGTGTCTTTATATAGAATGGCACATTTTCCATGTGGGAACATGGGATATAACTTCAGGAAACAGATAAGTCAGTTTAATGTCTGACTGTCATACGAAAGCATGGCCCTACAAAGTCACTGCTCTAGCCCATCTTGCCTCCTCTTGCAGAAAATTAGTTGGGTTAGTTTTCCCTCTCTGGTTTAGGTTCCCAGAACAACTCATCTCAGCTTAGACAAATGCAAGAGAGATACCAGCAGCTGCAGCTACCAATTAAATCAACTCAACGATAATGCGGAAACATACCCTAATACATCCCACTTCTAAGCAGGCTGGTAGACTGGCAGGGTGTCATACCAACACTGTTATTCTGCCTCTCAAATCTTCAAAGCTAACTCAGACTTCCACATTAACATTATACTTTGCCCTCTAAACACAGCACAGGCTTTTCAACAGTTTCAATGTTTTCACCTATAAATCAGCTGAATGAACACCAGGTTCAAAACCAGTTTGCACCTGGAAATATGGTTCAACCAAGGTAATGAAATACAGCAACATACAAAACACGGAGTATAGAAAATGAGCTGAAGTCAAATAGGAGTTTTCTCCACTGGAAACAGAAAGCATGGAGATCCACAAGAAGAACCTAGGCTTTCCAAAGCAAGAGTTATATTTATTAAAAGCATTTTAGATGAAATAAGAGCTCACCCAGTTGTTTTTTTTGCCAGCATAGATTTCCATGTTTTCTCCATACTGGGGCTCTTCAAGTAAAGTCTGATACTCAAACATGAGACGAGAGCTCTCCCGTAATCGGCTGCACTGAAATTGGTGATACTGCTGCACAAGCTCTTTCACAACAAGCAGAAGGCATTCAGGGTTTGAAGGATTCCAGGAAGCTAAATTCTGTTGAGTAGGAAAAAACAAAGACCAAGACCAAAATTACTTACAGCAGTAAAAGACAAGCAATCCCCCTTTCATATTGATACCAGACGCACATATGTATTTGGAACCTTTGTGACAAGGCTAAACCATAATATTAAAATACAAAGGTTCTAACATGCTTTGGGAAGAAAAACAGGTGAAACAGCAGAAGCTTAATGTCAAATAGGAAACCTACCATAAAACTGATAACAGGGCTACTACCAGGCTTATATAGGCTCAAATTACCATTCTATTATTTCCTAAAATTATACTGTTGCATCTGAGAACTGGAAAAGTTTGAATTAAATTAAAACTGATATGCAACACACAAGGATTAGGTAAGTACAACTTTGCAGAGTAACTGATTCAAAAAGCAGTCAATCAAGTAACTATGGCAAATTAACACCAACTACACAAACTGCTCTGCTTCATTATCTCAAACGGTGGCTACATTCCTAGTGGTACAGCAAATGGGTTCTCTTCTTTTGCCTCAAAGTTGTGATTATTTCACCTTAACTGTCTCTTCACTTGAATTATCTTGACTCATCCTCTTAACACAAATGTCATCCATACACAGAAGTGTCTTTAACATGCCTGGCAGAAATTTTTATTACACTGTATTTCAAGAAATAGCTAACAGAAATAAAAATAATACAATCAAGATAACTGTGTCAGTACCACAGTAGTGATGTTATCACTCCTATAATTGGCTTAGATCAGTCTTCTGTGCGCAGTAAGTTTTATTCAGGAAGTATTTGGTGTTATAAACCATACCCAATGTGACCAATGTTGCATGCCTACATCTAGCTGACCAAAAATTGACCTATGTGAAAGGCAGACTCACCCTGTAGTCCATGCTTTAGGGTGAGACAGCACTGAATCAAAGTACTTAGGTGCTCATATGCTTTGCACATGGGTCTTCAAGAGGTTTTCTTGAAACCCCAGAACATGTTAACACAGTCATGTGCCTTTTGGTGAGCTTTCGGTATAAGCAAAATTAATCCACATTTCAGAGAATCATGGAATGGTTTGGATTGGTAGCAACCTTGAAGATTATGTAGCTTAGGTGATGGACACCTTCCACTAGTCCAGGGTGCTAAAAGTACCTTCCAACCAGGCCTTCAACACTTCCAAGGATGGGGTATCCACAGCTTCTCTGTGCAACCCATTCCAGTGCCTCACCACCTTCACAGTAAATAATTTCTTCCTTATAATCTAATTTTAATTTACCTTATTTCAATTTAAAGCCATTACCCTTTCTCCCACCACTCCATGCTCTTGAAAAAACTCCCTTTTAAGCTCTCTTGAGGGCCCATTTAGGTACTAGAAGGCCATATGTCACACAGACATTTGACAATAAACTAGCTGCAAGAGAACTGTAAATTGCATGAATTCTACAGTTAACACTAAGAAACTCAGAACTAGCAAAGATGTCTGCATTTTACAACTAAGTGAAGATATAATACAGTAGCTTCATAAAATTTGCTATCCATGTTTGTATTCAATGTAATTAGACGCCATGTTACTTTTTCCTGTATGTTGCAGGTGTTTCATAAACAAATTCATATTTTGTGTAACACCAAAAGTAAAAAATACAAGTAATAAACACAAATGAATGGGTTGCACAGAGAAATTGTTGAGTCTGTTTTTAGAGGTACCCAAAACATGACCAAACAAGGACCTGGACAGCCTGATCTATCTGATCCTGCCCAGGCAGGGCAGCCAGACTAATGGTCTCTATCTAAAGGCTCCTTCCAACCTCAGTTATTTTTAGCTTTATGAAGAGGTTTAAAATAAGCTCTAACTGAAAAAGGGTCATAAGCAAGGTGAGACTCCATAGCTCTGGCTAATTTGAAATGAGATTTCTGCAGGCCTTCCATAAAGTTAATAAGAACAATCATTAATGCATTTAAAATAAAGAAAATAAACAAATGAGTTTGTATACAAATTTTATCTTCTGATACCCTGAAAAGGCAGAAAGCTTAATCAGTTACTCACCAGGCACCATGCTTCAGCTCTACAATGAAATTTACTTGTAGTGATCTCTAACTAAGATGGCTATTTCCATTAAAAAGGCTTATAACTTCTATTATTTCTGATGACTTTAGATATTTCCCTATGGAATAGTTTTATACAGACTTTAGTATATGTGTATGACAGCTTAATACTCCAAGTGTTTCTCTTTCCACAACTTTGTACTTTTTTCCCACTGCAGCAATATATATAAGATCTTAACAAAATTAATTTCTCGTTTTCAGCATCATCACTTGAAACATACCAGTCTAATTTGTCAGTGAAAGCAATGGGAAGTATGTATTGCTGTGTTTTACATGCATGAACAGCCACAAGATTGAACCCTATTTTCCTGCTCACTCTGATTCTGGTCAAAAGAGCTGCTCAGCATGGCTGAAACACTATCCTTGAACCTCTGCCTTTAAAAGTTACCCCAGTATCACAGACTTCACATTTGACCCCGGCTTGATGTAAAAGTACTTTGTTTTCTCCCCCTTCTAGACAGTAGGAACACTTACAAAATGGGAATATTATCATTGCCATATCTTAAGAGGTAAACCCCATTCCAGAGGAATTGGTGACATACTAATGCAATTCATTTAAGTTCATCAAGTACTACAGAGTGACTGAAATCCTTGTTCTACCTTGTCTGCCACCTAGAGCTGGTAAAAATTTATCTGCAACTTGAATCCATTTAAGCTTATCCAATTCTACAAAATACTAGAGAAAATCTGTCAGGTAGACAGCATTTTCTAGGAAACGCATTTTCTACCATGCAGTCTGAAACCAGATTGCATATAACCTTAAATTTCCTGTTCCCAAGCTGCTGCTCAAATAAAACATTTCCAGCAAGCCGGAGGATGTAATATGCCAGTATGTATTGATATCAGCCAGACAAGTGGGAATAACCTTTCCTCCTAATGACATTGGTATAACACAATAGAAATGTTCTGTCAAAGGAAATGACCAACAGTATTTTAATAACTGACCTAAATGCAACTGAACCTTTTGTTTTTTAAATAACATTACACTACAGAACAAAAAAAGAGCAAAAGGAAATCCATTGTCATTTGTGCAGCACAAAGCTAAAGGAGTGCTCTTTTCAAAGAATTCAAGAACATTTCATCAAAACAGTTTCTATTCTGTATTGCCTTAAAGCTACAGAAATTAGAATGAATGTTTTAACTGTAGGATCCTTACTAAACACCTCTCATTCAGCAACTTAAGTTTCAAAGTATAAACTGGTTATAAAATCAAATCACTTGAAGAACAATCAAACTACCCATCCCGGACATACATGAATTATAATGGATTCTCACTGATGAAAGAAGAAACATACAAAGGCTACACAAATTTTCTGAAACACAAGTTCTAATTTATATAAAATGTTTTTAGCTTTAAAATTATATTATTATAGGGCATGTTACTTGGCACTTGGCCACTACATTTCCACCCATTTTGTTAACTTTGCAGAAGGGCTGTACTTTTCACAAAATCTAAACTCATATATTTTAACACAAACACTACTGAATACAATGCCATGTTTATGTATAAGATTTTTTTTTACATATCTTAGTGTAAGTTATTTGTCCTAAGTACTAGGTTCTTTCACCTGAAAATACTTTTAAACTTTACTGTAATCCAACTTCAACAGGATGTCAAAATCAGTGCTATATCACTCTCAGTTTCAACCAGTACCTTCTTTAATCTTCCTTCTGTTTTTGAAATCAAAGATAAAATAAGTGTCTACCTGTAAAATACATTGTTGAAATCTAAGGCAGAATTTGATTTGTCAAGTTTAATCCTTTTAGAGTGTCTACACTGCTACAATTTCAGAATCACAGAGATTCTTCTGAGGACACACAATTGGTCACTCTAGTTAATGAGAGTAGTGCCCCTCTAGCTGACCTTCTCTAGAGGTAAAGGAGCTTCTAAATAAGGTTTTATTTAGTGATGCAGTATTGTATTCACTACTGGACTTCAGAAATCGGCAAAATCTTAAACTTGGAGCAAAAAGAGTAGTAACCTGCATGCTTAATTTTCTGATTGTTTGCCTGAAGGCTGCATTTCAGCTCTAACCAATCCAGCTTTTTATAAGATTGTAGTTAAGAAGATTTAAAACATTAGAACAGAGCTTCTGCTGTTTGTGTTTCATGGCTTCAAGTTCTGCTACAAAACTTAGATCTTGTGTAAGTATTAAAATCTGATGTAATTTCAAGATTATGAGGTTTAGTTGTTACAACTCTAAAAAATCCTGGGAGTAAGAACACAGACAGATCACTGAAGCCAAGAAGGTATGAAAAACCCAAATACAGAAATAACAAGACATTTATGTATATACATGTTGCTATTGTTGCTTCCTGTGGCTTATATCAAAATCTTCTGCCTTGCTCACAGACCATTTTACCAAAATCACATGCATGCTGAAAAGAATTTTTTTTCCTGAATTAGCTATAAAATTGTGAATAAAATGCATTTTATAGAGAAAAAAATGATCACAGTGACTGGGGTATTGACAGACTACGTTACATACTTCATTCAATTAATCCTGTCTAATTTGAAATGAGATTTCTGCAGGCTTTCCATAGAGTTAATAAGAACAATCATTAATGCATTTAAAATAAAGAAATCCAGACTTGGATACAATCCCTTGCCCTGTTTGCTAACACATATCTTTAAATGAACTCTGCAGTGCAAATTTCCTAAGTTAATAGTTAGCCAGTTAGACTCAAAGTGCCCCACTGTACAACAATATACCAGTGTGAATCAACCCAAAATGTATCTGCAACTAGTTCTGCATTCATGCTTATCTCACATGACGGCCTACATACACAACTCAGATTGGTTAGGACATCATTAATGTTATAATTTTTTCAGCATATCATTGAAGAACTTGCCTGTCACTTCTGAGCACACAGATGAAGACACAAAAAATCCTCTTCTGTCTAGTCACTGCTTGCATGTCTCTCCATGATCTCCACTAAAACTAGGAGTAACTGCATGCATCAGATCTTAATTTCAACCATTCAGTTTTTAATTTTAGCTTTATTTTTGGCTTTTCCATACTGCAACTTGTGTAATTTTTATTTTCTAAAAAGATCAACTGTTGTCTCATCTTAAGAGGTACAAAAGTTTTAGTAGCAGGTTTAGTAGCATCCAAAGATAACTGTATATTCTTGTGGACACAAAAGTCTGGTAATGTCATCTGTGACAACTGTGTAAACCCCATTTTTCTAGTCAGAGAATGAATGAATGAATGAATGAATGAATGAATGAATGAATGAATGAATGAATGAAAAACGATCCACAGGAATGAATTCAAAACAGCCTACAAAAAAAGTAAGGGAATGAGAACTTTCATATGATGAGAGACCAGACTCCAGAAGCATCAGTGCCCACATGGTTGTAGCTACAGAACATGTCATACAGAAAATGGCCAATAACTGTTTACCTATCCATAAGTAAGCAATTCAACGTAAGGAAGTAGAATGCTCCTTCATGGCAGAAGTCATCCTGGCTGATTTTTTTCATTATAGAACAAAGTTTCAGGACAAGGTCTTCAAGAAAACAGTTACCTAGACCTTAAAATGATTAACCAATAGCATGTACATTCGCTAATTTTGCCCTCTAGTTCATGTTGTGTAGCAATAGGAATGGAAAAATAGTATTCAATTATTATGCAGAGATTAATAGACTATATGCGTCAAACAAACTGTGTCTACATTGGAGAAATCCAAGTGATTCAGGAGATCTGATATTCTGCCAGATATTAAGTTAAACAATCTCATCAAGGAGCACTGATTTCCACTAAGAAGTATAATCCCAGAGATTTTGTTGGGCTGCAAATTCAATTTCAGAATTCCCTGGCTCTTGATACTGTCTACTGACAGAAGTTGGCTGCGTAGTAAGTGAACAGTTTGACAGGGAAAGGTTTTTTGACATTCAGACATGACCAGAGTTGAGAAAATTAATTCACTTGAAGTTGGTATAAGAGGCGGAGTAGAGCAGTTAAAAGGCCACCCACAGCATGCAATTTAAGTCATTTCAACTGTAACTCATTTAAATGAGTAGCAATGACACCAGCTGGATTTCCAAAAGAGACAAGGAAAATTTGCAGCCTGACACTATCAGTTCTAGTGGGATCTTACAGGTGAGGCAAGTGAAAAACCCCCAACAAAGTAACTTCTCAGCCCTATTAGAAAAGACATGCAGAATTTAGCTTTCCAAAGAGGCTGTACTATGCAACTTCCGGCAAAGAAACCACATTTAAATTTTGTTCTGGTACATTCTGTGCTTTGTATTCTTTCCTTTATCCTTCCAAAAAAGCTAATCAAGAACCTATGCAAACTACTCAGTGTCCATGATTAACTATTCTCCATTTTTTTTTTACAATACAATGGACCTCATGTTCCATAAAGCTGCTAATTCATAGACTCCTTATTGCTTATTTCATAACTCAGAGCAATGTCTGCAGCAAACTATAATTCTACACTATCAGAAATTAAATACAGTAATAATTTCTAAATGATTTGAAGTTGTTTTTCTTTGAAATGTGTTTAAATATCCAGGTTGCCAGAAAATCTTCCAGGAATGTGATTTTAAAGAAGACAGATTGCAACTGTTTTTCCTGGCTATACTACAGGAAATAACAGTAAGATCTTATTTTAAGTTAGTGTACTTCTATATTTCTAAGCAAGAAATTAACTTTCATGAAAAAATGCCAGTAAACAAAACCTCCCAAGCCCGTAACAGTGGTAATGCATTTCTATAGCATCTTTCATCCAGAATTATCATAAAGAATAATGTTAAGTACAAATTTGCATTTTGTTTATATCACTGCACACCACATGCACACAACTTGCATCCTACAGGGGCTTAAAATTAGTACCAATACAAGTTTTTACCTGTAATGAGAAAAATCAGTGTAATATTAGCATAAATACAGAGGGGATACTGGTCCAGTGGTTACAGCATTAGCCTAGAAACTGGCATATATGATTTCAGTCCCCACTTGGCTCTACTCATCATAGGCCACCACAGGGAAATTGCTCACAAAAAAAGGCACAGGATAATTACCTACCATATGCTCACATCTTTCTATCAACAGATATTTTTCACAGTATTTGCAGGGCTGGAGTGTTATAACAACTTCAAAGGCTTCAGTTTCTTAGCAGCCAGCACTTAAACATCCTACAGGCTGCAGCTTGAACTCAGTCACTGTAAACCTACATGCCATCTACTTGTCATCTTGTTTTCACAGGTTCTTCATATCCCTCTCCCCCAAGGCACCACTGGAACAACTTTCTGGAGTCATCTTCTTTGAAATGATCATTTTTGGGCCCAAGCAAACATCAAAATTTAACATTTCATAAAAACAGTTCAACTCTGGAGCACTTCTGTCATTGCAAATACAACCAAAGAATTTACAAAGACCTTCTGTGCTCTGCTGCTGTGAATACCAGATAAAAACATTTGCATAAAGCAAAGCTTGGGGTTGTCAGTATTTATTTTAATTTTTTTTTTCAGCAAGAGGTTGTGAAAACTGGATACAGAAATTAGAATAGCTTATAAACACTTGAAATCATATATACCTGAGGGCCTTTACTTAGAAGAAAATACAGAGCAGGAAAACAACACAATAAGAAATTAATTCTGCTATCAGAAAAGCATCTTACATCATATATGAAATTATCTCCCTTTTTTTCTTCCACTGGCTACACAGTGTGATTCTAGATAAATTATCCAATACCCAAAGCAGCTCCATAACAGATCCCAGCAAATCTGACACATGGAGAACACTTTTCTGCATTCACCTAGAACAAATGTAAAACTGCCCCTCAAGTACCATTCACCCAAAAAAGGAGTAAACTCAGCTTCCAAAGGTTACTACAATTTTTTTCTATTTCCTGCTGAAGAAGCAGTGAAGAGACAGCTGATCTTGGTAAGGGTACTCAGGAAATCCAGAATCTGTGTAGCTGAGCCCATGAGAATATTTTTATGTTGCACACTCTTCCTGGAAGAGTCTGCCTGTTTCTCCCGCAGAGCTCTCTTATAAGATAATCAGACCCTTAAAAGCTACAACTGCCTACTATCTAAATAATCTCCTAAAGACATGGCATGCATAGGCATTTCTTGTCCTACCTTGCTAAGGAATTAGAGAAAGTTTTGTTTCTTTCCAGACATCTCAGCACACCTCTCTCAGAAAGCACAAAACACTTTTACCTGATCCAAGAAGGAATTTCTTAATTCTCTCAGCACATACTAAATTCTGGGTTAGTGAATCCATTGCACTAATCATTAGTTCCTCCACATGAGTACACTGCACTTTTTTCCCCTGGGAGTTGGCTACCAGAGGTGTACATATTTAACTAGACATGGCAAGTAAAAGGAACAAAGCATGAAGACAAGAAAAATTCCCCCACAAGACATAGGCACATGCATCTTTTACGTAAAGACTCATTTACCATACCTTGGTGGCAGTGTGAACAAGCTTCAACTCCTCAGACCCTCTCTGCACCAGAGAACAGACCACTGTTAATGCTTCACCTCAAGAGTCCCTTTCAAATAGCAAGTCTTTCACTCTTATCAGCTCTTGTGGTTTTTTTCCTTTCCCGTCAACACAAGTAATTTTAGCTACAGCAAAAAGGCAGAACCTTCACAGCTAATGCTTTGGATAGCATCCACTAACATCCCTTGAGCATTTATGGTTGAGTGGCACATGCAGAACTTTCTTCTAACCATGTTTTCTTCTAACCATTTTTCCCCTTCCAAAATCCCATAAATTAAAATCAATGTATAACATGGTGGATCTCACTGTCATGAAAGCAGTATTGCCATCTCTATTTTCACAACTGTACTACTAGAGGGTTTATAAGACTTAGAAAATACAGTTCCTAAAGAAAACACCTACAAAATACCATTGTGTAAATCTTGTAAGATACTGGAAATCAAAATTATTTCTCTACGACACCAGGAAACTTATTGTAAATTAGTTATCTCTTCTCAAAAAACCAGCATGAAAACATTCATTTGGTTCCTTTATGAAAGTAAAAGCTGCATATCTGGAAGATGGGCAGAGTTCATGTAAAACTGTGTGAACACTTATACTGCAAACAAAAGACTCAAGATGCTGACTAAATTTGAATTGTATTTCTGTAGCTATCTCTAAAAAGAAACAGATATGCCTGAGGAACTGAAATAGAAGAGAGCAAGGAAACACAGACGTAAAAGAATGTCAAGAATGAGTAAAACAAAGATTTTGAAACAAATGTAAGCTGAAACTTAGACATAAAAAGGAAAGAAAATGTATCTTCAGCCCTCCTCCATTTGGGGAAATGAATAGATCTTTTGAAAATCAGCCTGAGTGCAAAGACATTTATTTCTTTGCCCGAAACATATCTTCTGAAGGAAAGAACCTTCAGGGTATCCAACTTAAACTAATTTCATTGGAGAAAAGTGCAATTATAAACCATAACAGAATTCACAACCCAGAATTAAATCAAATACAAAACTGCATTATTAGACAGAATGACCATTTCTAACTGTCCTTCTGTAATCAGTTAATTCAAATCTTTTTTCTACTTGAATATTCATAAGCAATGACCAACTTCTTCTACAGAAAATGAATTATAATAGCACATCAACATGAATTCAATGAGTATACTATACAGAATTTGAATGTATTCTCAATTCAGGAAGACTGCTCTAGAGTCAGTCTTTTCTCTCAAAAAAACCGCCACTCCTACCCAAGCCTCTTGTAAACATGTTTCTAAAAATCTAACAAGCTTCAAGACATGCTATTTCTTACTGTTTCTAGTTATTATAAGGAAGCAGCAGTATATTGTCACAGTAACACCACACGTAAGGGCCAGAATCCTTCCATTTTCCACTAGTTTTTCTGGTAATACTTTTTTCATAATTTTTAACAAAACACTGCTCAAGTAAAGTATGATTATATATTAATAAACTGAAGCAATAAATAGTCAGAAGTACATTACCAGTTTGTTGGTTTTCATTAAAGAATTACAAATGCCAACACATTATCATTGTACTAACATACTTCCACCTAAAAGATGTTCTGCTTTCATATGTCTGGCTTGGGATATCCACCGTTATATATTTGGTATGGACTATGGCTCAAAAATGAATGATTTTCTGGAATTCATTATACCACCCTTACCACAAGCAAGGACTGTATTTCCTGCAAAGGAAACACATGCAAGCCTAAACATCTTTTTCAGCATTTTACACTAAGATTTAAGCATCCTGTTATTCTGGTCCAAATTTCTGGCCCATCTAAATCCATGACCATGAAAAATATGGTCAAACAAATGACAAATGAAAAATATTTTTTCCTACAACAATGCTATGAATGGAAAACCATAAAATGTTTTCTCCCCTTATTTTACTAGTGCACAGAGATTATGTCCTTCATCACATGCACTTTAGTTAGTATGGCAGAAAAACATTTTCTCCCACTTTGCCATCCTTCAGTCCATGCACATTCCTAATGCTCTCCAAAAACTTTCCAGGACTAAAATGCTCTATTTTAAAAGCTAATATTCTGGATTTTTCATATTCTAGGGAGAGATTATCAGAGATGCTTGTGCCAAAATATTGAAGGAAATGTTCCCTCTGCATCTCTTTACAAAACTAACGAAATGAATTTTGCTTTCTAGACCAGCAAGACTTGAGCAAGAAAGGCAAAAATTTGTAGCTTAACAGATATTTTGTTCCCTTGAAATTAAAGAAGTATTATCAAACTATAGATTTTCTTTTTTTCCATTTCTGGATTCACTAGTTGAAAAGTCCAGCCAAAATGCTGCGATTAAGTACAGCACAACTTTTAACCCCAGCATATTCTCTTCTGCTTACACTTGAGACAGAAAGCCATGTTTTATACACTGTGCTAGAAAACGCTGAAGTTTGGCAAAAAGAAAGTCAGGTAAATATATGCAATGATTTTATATGAAAAAAAAATGACAAAGTAATTTTACATATATACAATTTAATTAAATTGTACATTTTCTAATTGTCATTAGAAAATGACAATGTGGCTAACCATCTCTCAGCCCTATAAATATTAGCAACTCTAGACAAAAAGGACAAAAATGAAAGGCTGCAAGAGAAATGAAAAATACTAAAATAAGGAGAAAAAGGACTACTTTCCCAGTGTAGAAAAGTCTTGATGGACTCAAAGATTGGAAGACAACAGGAAAACCTTTCTTTCTGTCATCCTCTCGAATTCCTTCTGCTGGACTGTATAGCCATCATCACATCTACACAGATAATCCTAACACTTGCTCTCAGCACTGTGATACTTCCCAGAAGGACCTCCTGAATACTGGCCTCACGCAGGCTGCAGTCAAGCTGGCCAGGCTATGCCAGGAGAGGATCCCCAGCCAGAATCCTCTTTTGGGGATTTCTCATTCTTAACCTAGTACTTATTCAGCTTGGCACGAACTGAACCAGATCGTCTCCAAAAGACCCTTCCAACCCTAACTATTCTGTGATTTTGTGATTCCCTGAGGAACATTCTGGAGCTCAGAAACCAGATCAAAATATATTCAAAATTACATTCTTTCAGATATGGCTTTAAAAGGAATGCTGCACTGGCATATCTCTGTTGTTCAAAAATGTGGACAAAAATGTGTAAGTGCCAACAATACCAGTCAAAAAATTCTTGGGAAAGTTCCTGAATAACTTACTTCTCTGGCGGTATAAAATGTGATTTTTTTTCCATTGCCTATTAATACCAGACAAACTTCAGCAAGGCTGCAGTGACTATATGCATATATACATACCTACATGCATATATGCATATATACATACCTACATACATACATACATATATATACACACACACACACACATATGCACACATACCTGCATTCCCATATATACAAATAGGTAGGATCAATAGAGCGGGACAGAAACAAAAAAATTTCAGAATTAATGTTTATTTCAGAAAATTAAATGTTAAATAACATAGGATTATAAATAATCAAAACACATATTGACATATAAAGTCAAGACATGGCTGAAAAATGAACACAATAAATGAGAATATAAAGCAGTTCTAAACAAGGGAAAAAAACTTCTAATAAATTGAAGGATGGAATTTTGATTGTGTTTCACTTAAATTCCCCAAGTTCAACTGAAGCCAAAGTAATTTAAGGCTTTCAATATAAGAGCAACAGGTTAGAGGGTCCAAGAATGAAATCTGCTGCTGCCATTTGAAATAGAGCACACAGAAGAGCTAAATAGGTTAAACTTACCCATGCATTTCTCAAACAAGCAGAACCCACTTCTGTGGCTTTATATTTTAAAATCACACTCCAAAAACCATTAAGCTCATTGCCCTTATGGGGAGTGCTCACACTAGAACACATAACATCTGAATCCTTGCTAACAATACAACTGACAGACTTTTTAGAACAAAACAGTTCAAAAAGCGTTAGTTAATATAAGGGGTGTTTGAGCTTTTTTGGAGTTACTGTGAGCAAGGGGACAACTGACATTGTTAAATACGTGCCTCATGCTCTATTTGCTCTGAGCAAATAAAGAACAATTAATGAAAGAGGGGTATATTTAAAGAGTCTCCTTGCTATCCATTAAATGCTAACTCAGCAACCAACAGAAATAATGATTAAGACTTTGAACAGAGACACAGAAAAAAAATACAACCTTCACCATAGTCCTCATATAGTCCAGTGAGTCTAATAAGCACAAATACAAGAACTTAAAAACAAACATTGGTCTACACAAGATATAGAGTATGACAGCCAATACACTAGAGTAGCACAATGAACTGAATTAACTCCACAGTGACTGGAATCTATACTCAGTGTCAACAATTACATGAGGGAAAACAGTCCTCCCAATGCTAGGTATGGGCATTGTCTGTGATGACATTATCTTCCTCCCATGCAAATGCAGCACTAAGTATTGCCACATGGAATATGCTATACACTTAGCCCACACGGACATATTCAGCACTTAGTAGGCTTCAGGAAACGCTCATGTCCTCTTGCTTCCATTCTCTCTAAGGCTACTGAAGTCTTCTTGATAGCAGTGGGTAGGCAGAATAATTCTGGGGAGACTAGCTGGAGACCTGAAGTAGAATACTAAGACACCCATTTCCTTAAACTGACAGTTACCTTGCTTATACTTCTATTGTATCCTCTTTGCCAAACAGAAGATAATTCAAAATCATTGAGAAAATGGGGTTAACATTTTGAATAAGCACTTCAGCTATTAACTGGCTCACATTAACAATTAACTAGGCTAACATAACAAACAATTCTTGTTACTCAAACTGGCGTCATTGTAATGAGCTTCAAATTAATCTCATCCATACACAATCACTAATCTGGTTGTGTGCCAACTGAATTTTTAATCAGAATGGAGTGAATCATAGGTTGTTTTTAAAGTACATTTCTAATACTTGTCATCCAGAATGAATAAACACTAGAGCAGGAAAGAACTTTTCTATTTACATTCTGAGAAGCTGATTTTATTTATGTATACTATACATGCAAGTATCAAATGCATTTGAGAGGAAAACATTCTTAATGAAATAAAATGTAAAAATGTTTCCTTTCAATAACTCTATGAACATGAACAGCACCACCAACCTAAAGAATTTAGCCCCCTGACTGTAATTAAAACTGTATAACAAACCAAAAGGACCACTTACCCCACCACTGAAGTGCTCTACAATGCTGACATCATCAGCAAGATCAGCATGCACACAGTTAGACCCTGCGACCAGCAGAATAACCACTACTGGTAAGACATGCAATGAAGCACGTACTTTGCAGTGCTGAACTTGAGACTCAAGCTCAGTTTCAAATCCAATTGATGTTAATGTTTGTGCAAGACACAAAAGCAAAACTAAATTTAAATGAGCATTTTCTACTTGATTCTGCAATTGCAGTCTCAATTCAAGAAAGCATTAGCCCTGCTTATAAAACAAGAGTGCTCAACACATCGCTCTACTGCTGAAATACTGGCCTAATCATTCAGGATTACTCCGGGGGAAAAAAAAACAAAACATGAACTATTCCTCTACAGCATTCACTTTTTAAAATGCAGAATTCCTGGAATCTTGCTTTAGCTGTTTGGCTAACAGCTGCTTAACTGAACACCTATTACCATGCTCAGATGAACATCTAACTGGAAGGTCTGCCCATGGCTATGGAAACTGAAGAATGACTAAAATGATCTGCAACACAGCCATTCAAATATCTTCAGGGAAGTCGCCTGACAACCTCTATTAGAGCCACACGAGCTTGTGGAATCTGGAGTACCTGGTTCTCCTTTCAAGCTAAGCATAATCCCTGACTCAAAGCCATCTAACAACATATGATGACTTCTTGGAAAACAAGATGCTCAGACAGATGAGAGCAGTGCATGCAGGCTCAATGTCAGAATTCCCACAGATCCAATGGCACATACTACTTACTTAGAGACTGTGCTCCTCACTGAATAACATCTACATGCTTTTGTGCATGGCAGATTCTGTTTTAAATGCCAGGAACTGTTTATCAGAAGTATCTGAAGACTGCTCAAGATTAAGAGCATTAAATTATGGTCAATGTGCTAATCTGTATTTTACTTCTAGTCAGTAGACAGCTATGTTAACATATTTAAGAATTCTGCTAATATCTTAGAATTCAATTAAAATTATCTTCATTAAACAGCTGTCACATTTGTGGAAAAAAAAGGGAGCTATTCAAAGACTTAGCATAAAAAGCAAGTTATTGCTAATGAAACATTCTGAAGAAAAAAACTTGTTAGATTAAACAGTGAATGCAAAACTAAAGGTACACTATGTAGACCACAGCTGCAAGGTGGAAATAACATGCTCTGATACCATCAGGACAAACTGAGGGTTACATTTACATAGTGAACGCTTCAGTAAGGCATAATGACCAAAGGAACATTGCTGGCTTGCAGATTTCTTCTTCGGTTTGTTCTAATTACTTTCAAATAGACTGGTTAATATCTCATTATGCATCAAGAAGCAAATGGCTCTTCCAAGTTGCTTTCCAGCAAAAAAGGCAAGAAGTTTGTTCATAGGCAGGAGAAAAGCAACACTCCCAAAAGAAGCATCATTAATGAACAATGGAAGAACAAAAGAAAAATAAGGATGTTTTTATCTTTGCACGTTTTCCTGTAGATCACAACTGTTTGTGACTTCTTTTCACATGAGAAATATGGCACTGTACCACTCTCAGCAAGCTTTTCCATCTGAACAGCATTTCTGCAAGATGTCCCGAATGATTTTTTATCTCATTTGCAATTTGTTATTAATTTCTGTTTTCCAGTACATTAAAAGGTGCTTCTCTTCTTTTAATATCAACTATAAAAAGAAGTTGCTAATATGAACACTTCTCAGGAGGTTGTAAGATTGTGAAACAAATGAGAAAAAGAGGAAAATAGAGTAAGTAAATAAAGGAATGTGAAAACAATTATAGAATTGCCATAGAAAGAAAAAACCTTTTCTATAAACTAGCATAATGAAATAGCTGTTCATCAGCACCATGCCTTCTACCCAAAGGAGTTTGTGAGCTTAACAGCAAAGTGACCAGGAGAAGAAAATAAATATGACATTCACCTTTTAAAAGTTCTATTAGGTATGCTAAAAATAATCATTAAAACAAATTCTTCTGATTTTTGTATATAACTTAATATGAAGTGAAAAGTAAAACCAAAACCCAACACTAGTCATGTCATGCATCAAGGCATGTTCAACCTCCCTCATGACACCCACATACCACAGCACAACAGACACCAACTTCTTTCGGGGAGCTCTGGAGATGTGCTCATAAAGCAGAAGAGGAGCTGCAGGTGAGGGCTCTGCACAGTCATATTAGTAACTACTATTCAGTTTTGAGAGGGAGAAGTATTGTAAAAGCATAAGCACTGATAGCTTCTCCAAACAAGGCTTTACTACTTGAGGTAGTGAACTGTGACTAGTGAACAAAACACTTGTTTTCATGTTGTGGTGTTCTTCTTCTGTAGTAATAAGGCTGCATCAAAGTATTTTCTCATTTATTTTTGTTCCTCCCACCTTTTAGAAGGTAATTTCTTTGTCTAGATAGCCCTAACACATATGAGCAGATGGCTTTCTTTGATGCAGTGGTTCCCGCAACATTAATTAGATATACCTTTCCTCAACAGAAAACAAAAATCAACAATATGACACCAAATTACACTACTTCATTTTAGAGATAAATGCTTTTAAAGACACAATTTATCAACTTTTTTTCTGAGCCAAATCCTTTAAGATGGTCAGATTTAAATAAACATATTTTTACAGATATTCGAAGTAACTATTATAAAAGTAATATTGTCTTGATTAAAATGTTTTAAACTTTGTCTCTCTCCTCATTTATAGTTTCAAATTTAAACCACCTTAGAAAGCAATGTGTTTACACTCAAAATACCGGTGAGATAAAAGGGGTGTTTCTTTTTTATTTCGCATTATTATAAAATTCCTGTTGCTGAAGCTATTCTAAAAAAGCCAAGTATCTCTGCAAGGTGTAATGTTCTCAGACAGTAAAGTACTTACATGCAAGGCAGAAGGATCTGGCAAAAACTCAGCATCCTCTCCAAAGATAAAATCTGGTGGCAGGTCAGGATAGTGAGCATTAAAAATAATATCCCCTGAAAAGCAGTAAATGAAACCATTGTTTGCACTTTTATATATGTGCTTAAAAACAAAAAAATAATCACATAAAACACACATTTTTTAACATAGAATTTGACAGCTACATTACATATATTTCATGTATATATCCATATAATTTTTACAAAAATTCACATGCAAGATAAGCATCAGATATTTTAGGGGATAAAGACAAATTCCTGAGGCACAGCTTCTTCCTCCTCTGCAAGCAATGAAACATGAAATACATTATTGCTTTGTATCTCAAATGGCAATTCAAACACTATTGAGGGTTGCCTCAAAAAAACCCTGAGTTAGAAAAGTGATCTTGTTTTAATAAAGAGTACCCTATTTAGGTGGCTGTGTTTTGTCTATTAAAAGTCAACTGCAAACTACTAAGATCATGATTTTCAAAATACCAGAGCTTTTAAAAATTAGTAGCACTTACTCCCTCTCTTCTCCTTATCACCGCCAACTCTTAGAAGGAAGAATACACAGTTCAATAGGAACTATTCCAACTACCCAAATTCTGGCCAAGAGAAATGCAGTATTGCACATTTAAATGGAGAGACGAAAATTAACTGAAAATATAAGACTTCATCACAGCTTGGCACTGAGTTCTCTCATCTTGCCAGTGTCACAAGATAGGCAATTAAAAGCAATTTGGGTTCTAGTATTTCACTAGTACACATACTTCAGAGTTCATACAGATCAAGAGGTAGTCATATGCATCTGAGCTTTCAAAAAAACCCACCCACTAATCAAAAAAAAAATTTAACAATAAAAATAAGTGTTTCTAGCCTTACTTGTCTACCTCTCCATCATTCTTTATGATAATACAAAAAAATAACTGAGCTTTTGCATAGAACAGATTTATGATGTAGCAGACATAATTAAAAAAGACTGTTTACTACATATTACGACTAATTTAAAATCTGTACAGCAAAGTAAAACCAGCATGGTAATCCTTACAAACAATTCTGTTCAGAGAAAGTTATACCACTTTTTATATCTTAAGAAACTGTGAATGCAGAACTGGAAAAAAGCATTAGATGAACAAATCCTGCAAAGCCACATTGCTGGCTCAGTGATGACACCACCTCAAGGCATTTAGCATGACAGTTTTAATTGCGAATATTCTGTAAACCTATCTTGACCTTGCCTGGAAGCAAGGATGCCATGAAGATTAATTGCAGAGGATGAAGGCTCATGGCCAAGAAGCCACTGACCAGTGTGGGTTAGGTATTCTCTACAGTATGGCTCCAAATAACTAACTCACTGATCATGTGATGAGCAGAGCACAGTGTGGGTTTCTCCTGTGTGCACTCCTACCTTCTTTTCAGAGCTGTCAGGAGCACATGTAAGTATAGGGCGCAGAAAATAGCAGAGGTCTGCCAATTAAAATTCCCAACACACTCAAAATAGAAATAAAACCTTTAATTACATTTAAATTTCATTTACAAGAACAAACTGGGCAGTCCTGGAGGAAAAGGCATACAATTGCAACAGGAAATGCACCTATATTAAGTAAGGAAAAAATAATTACTAGCTTGCTTAAACTGTAATACAGCACTGAAGAATTAAAAAAAGTTGATGTTTACTAGACTGGGCAGTTCCTACACTACCACAACACTTTCCTTGATATTTATTACAATTAAAATGTCATGCATGGCTCCCTTCAACAACCTCATCAAACTCTGCATAAAGAGCAGTGAACTTGAGGTTATAGACTGAAGGAGATTAACCTTAATACATTCTTTGACTGAGTTTTGAAAGAGGCATGTTATGAATAAATCAGAACACAACACAATGATAAAGCTAGGCCCATGACTTAGGCAGCCCAATGCTACTCCAAAGGAAAGGACTGTACCTGTGCTTCTGCCATGCTCCTGTGTGATACTAAGTAACTCATTTAGCAAATACTTCATACTTCAGGTGCTAGCTATATGCTTCTCATTCTCTGTATTCTTGCTTTAACAGAGTTGGTGAAACAGAGTAGATAGATATATCTACAGCTCAGCTCATTTAGGAGCTGCACTCCAACTACACACATACTAAAAAAAGCTGCTTAGAATAAAAGAAGGATCAAAATAACAGCATATTTTTGATGTTACACCTCCACATTTGATAAGTGAAAAACTATTACAGAACCCTACATCACGAGGCAGGTACAAGACTCTGCTTGAGTAGTGAGATTGGCAATAATCCGTATCCACCTCTACGACCTGCACAGTAAGGCGTGAACCTCAGGAATGCTGTGGCAGTAGGTGCAACATGATGTTCAAGTAGGTAAAAACCCTTTCCTTTCACAGTGTGAACTCACAGCAGCTCCCAGAACACCATTATATACAGTGCTCAATATAAGAGTAAATTAAAGTTGGCATTATTAACACTTAGTATGTTTAACAAGTGATAAACAAGTGCAAAGTGATAAACTTTAACAATTTGGGGTCCAGGTCAGCTGCATATGCCATACAGTGGTTCATGCTGTGGGATTAGGGACTTGTGGAGATGGTACCCTCTTCTGACCACTCACCTCTGATGTGTAGTCAAACCAATGTCAGGTACATTATATCACAGCTGGATAAACCAATCCATTACCAATCTCACATGCTCATATTTGTTCTTTACCACCTTCTGTCAGACCCCTTCTTTCACTAAATATCAGTGGCATTATGAGTCCTTATCCACAGTGAATGACCAACTATGCAGATATTTGGATTTTAAAAGTGTTTATGACCTACTGCTACCAAGGAACTATTCGGGTACAATGGACAGAATCCAGCGTAAAAATTAACATTGTGATACTTGATTTTCTGTAACTCATAATTATTTATAATTGCTAAAATTGCTTCTCCTTGTCCAGGGTAAACATGCCTCAAATCGAAATTCCCAAGTCTTTTCAATAAAAGTCACTTTGAGACCAAACATATCAATATTAATGCCAATGTGTATATCAAGATTATTTTTCCGACAGTGAATTCAATTTCTAAAAGAACACGTTATATAGGTTCTCTAGGCTTCAGAATATATAAAACTAGTACTTCAGTGCCTGTTAATTACACATTCACAAAACACTATTGCTAAGACCATACTTGAACTATTTTACAACCCTATGGAAATTAAAAATGATGCTATTGTTCTCATGCTCTAATTAAAGAGAAATGTATAATTTATGCCCTCCTTCCTATAGTACCATTGGGGATTGGGTGTCCCTCCTTTTGGTCCTTCTCACCTGTGGAATCTTTACCCATTAGTTGAGGGGAAACCTGATTGCTGGTATTGGTTGGGTGCTTGAGAAACACAGGGAGTTTGGCTGGGCCCAGGGAGGAAGGGGGGCAGGGGAGGGCAGGGGCAGCTGAGGGCTAGCTAGTTTCTTGGGTTTCAGAGCAGGACACACTCTTGGAGTGTTGTGGCTTAGAGAAGGAAATTTGCCATAACCCAGAAGGAGCTGTTTCTTTTGCTTCTTCTTCTTCTTCATCTGTGGGCCCCTCACACCGCCAGCCCTGCCGGGATGTGTGGTAGTGCCAGCCTCCACCGTGGAGCTGCTGATACACCTCAGCCACCGGCCCGGGATCTCAGCTCATCCCTGCTGTTCCAGCTGACTGTTCCTCAGAGCCCTGCAGGAGCACCGGGATTGCCCACCCAAGGGGGTTTGTGAAGCAAAGCCTCTCCTCCATCCTTTCCTGTCTTGGCCAAGAAGGCTGTCATGGGGTCCCTGGTTCTGTTCTTTTTGCTGATGCTGTAGTTATTGTTGTTTGTTTGCCTTGTTGTACATACTGGTAAAGAACTGCTATTCCTATCCCCAGATCTCTGCCTGAGACCCCCTTGATTTCAAAATTATAATAATTCAAAGAGAAGAATTTTACATTTTTTCATTCCAAGGGAGGCTCCTGCCCTCCCTACCAGACACCTGTCTTCCAAAACAGGACAGCCCTCCTTCCTACAGTACTGTAGGTTTTTAGCTAAATGTAAACCCTAGTTTATTCTGCTACAATCAAACCTCACACAGGGTGGCTGACAATTTAATAGAGACAAAGGACAGAACAAAATGTTATTTCCACTTCATTGTTAAAAGTTAGAAAAGAGCAGTGATTTTCTATCATCAGTGGCTTTCATTCTGAAAGTTAAAAACGACATCTTACTATTAAATATTTGACCTTAGAACAACTTTTATGTATTTAAAAATGAAAAGAATATTCCCTCAGTAAAATCTTATTCTATTAAGTCTCACTTCTGCCATTAATCCAGATGTTCAGCTAGTTCCTCAAACAAAAGAAAAAAAACACTTCTTTTTGACCGTATCAGCTATCTATACACATCATCCCCAGTCTCTCCAACATTCCTGCTCTTTGCTCCCCTATTCCATACAGTTTCACTTATGTCTTGCTTAATTTACATACTAGAACAGAAAAGGTTAGGCACCATTGAAAGCATTTACTCTATTTGCAGCTATAAGCATGCACTATTTTCCTAAGTTACAGCAGCAAAAACACACAGTAACAAATCAGACTACATATTAAGAGAATCCATCCTAAAGCTGAGTTTTGTTCTTGTTAAATATCAAAGCCCAGAAAATTTAAAACTACAGTTAAGTTTGCTTGGCAGAACTTTTTTTACATTTATGTGCAAATAAAAAATGTTTCATTACATTCAAATAAAAGGTATTTAAACAATCACAACAGCCAATGCAAATCTGGTTTTATACATAAAACCATACATAAAATATTAACACTAGCCTCTGCAGTAAGTTTACATAATATAAGGTGTTAAATGTTTTGAATCACAAGTTAACAGTTTACTTTGACCTACAAGAAATAGCCACTTTTATAACATAATATTATATATTTAATGCTTACATGATATTATCTGTGGCTCACCGTCTTCAAATACAATGGTGCTGGAGTAAATCAAAGTAAAACTAAGTTAGACTTTTAACCAATAAAGTCATATGCAAAATTAGTGTGCTTAGTTACAATTTTAAACTTGGAGGAAAAAA